AAAGTAAAACATACACTGAGAAAATCTGGGTTTGCTCTGCTTTTTCATACTAATTAAAAGTATTCCCTAAACTATTTTAATTTCTTTTATATGTAATATACAGAAAAAACCCCAAATCAGTATTAAAACAGTCAACAAGCAGTAGGAATTGATAAAACCCATCCATTAGCTCTCTGCTAAGATGATTAACCACAAAGGATTCAGAGTTGTTTCATCTAAGTGCTGGTAAATTAACATTCTGGAGCAGAACAAATGATCCTCCCTGTTTACTTCAACATGAAATTGGGATTTGGCACTCCTCTGATCAAGCAGAGACACCTCTATTGTGCAGCTCTTCCCTGGCTTTCCTAAATTACAGCTTTTGGAGATAAGGCTTGTTTATCACTCTGCACTGTGGCACATTCAGCTGTCATTGTCCATGGTTCTTAATAGAACAGTTTAAAAAATCTTAATTTTTTTTCAGAACTATGATGTTATATTTGTTCTAACACATATAAAACCATGTATGTTTTTATGTGATATGTACAAAACTACTCACATCACTAAATAATTGAAAGAAATGTAGAGTTGTATTAGTCTCAGAGCTAATCTTGCAAACTGACACATTTTATATTGACCCATAGAATATAATTTCAAATATTTTTAAATCTTGCTTCCATGTTGAAGAACAAAGCTTAACATAATCAATGTGTAAGGAAGGATACAATATTCCAGTGTAAAATCATGTGAGGGGTAGGAATAGGGAAGAGAAAGGGACAAATTGTGTTGATGTAGCAAAATATCTTGGGACAACACAATTCAACTGGAGTAATCAGCTCTGTCTTGTAGGATTCCCAAATGGCTTGGCCTGGCCCTTCCCAGATTGATAAATTAGGAAAATGCTTTGGTCACAAAAGTGAGAGAATATTTTGATGTGTTCTGCTAAGGGTTTAAAGTGCAGGGCTGAGAAGATGTGCCCAGTCTGCTACAGAAACCATCAGAGCTCTGTGTGCAGCTCNGTGCAGGCACTGCAGGGAATGGTGCAGGCACTGCAGGGAATGGTGCAGACACTGCAGGGAATGGTGCAGACACTGCAGGGAATGGTGCAGACACTGCAGGGAGTGGTGAAGGCACTGCAGGGAATGGTGAAAGCACTGCAGCCTGCAGGGAATGGTGCAGGCACTGCAGAGAATGGTGCAGGCACTGCAGCCTGCAGGCACACTGAAGATAGTTCCTGCTCTCAGCCTGCAGGGACACTGCTGCTCTCAGCTGCAGGGAATGGTGCAGGCACTGCAGCCTGCAGGGAGTGGTGCAGACACTGCAGAGAATGGTGCAGGCACTGCAGGGAATGGTGCAGGCACTGCAGGGAATGGAGCAGGCACTGCAGAGAATGGTGCAGGCACTGCAGGGAATGGTGCAGACACTGCAGGGAGTGGTGCAGGCACTGCAGAGAATGGTGCAGGCACTGCAGGGAATGGTGCAGGCACTGCAGGGAATGGTGCAGGCACTGCAGGGAATGGTGCAGGCACTGCAGGGAATGGTGCAGACACTGCAGGGAACGGTGCAGGCACTGCAGCCTGCAGGGAATGGTGCAGACACTGCAGAGAATGGTGCAGACACTGCAGCCTGCAGGGAATGGTGCAGGCACTGCAGAGAATGGTGCAGGCACTGCAGAGAATGGTGCAGACACTGCAGGGAATGGTGCAGACACTGCAGGGAATGGTGCAGACACTGCAGCCTGCAGGGAATGGTGCAGGCACTGCAGAGAATGGTGCAGGCACTGCAGGGACACTGCTGCTCTCAGCTGCAGGGAATGGTGCAGGTACTGCAGCCTGCAGGCACACTGGAGATAGTTCCTGCTCTCAGCTGCAGGGACACGGCTGCTCTCTGTAGGGGATTGAACACAAGTAAATAAAGGCAGCACAGAAAGCAATCTCAGCCCCTAAAGTGCTGCAGCTGGGGTAATTATTAAGGATCAGGAGCAGGCCTGATGTTACCAGGCCACACCTGTAGCCAATAAGAAGAGTGCTATAAAAGAGTGGATTGGTGGGAACTTGTGGGATCTCAGGATCTGAGTCCTGAGGTGCTGAGCCACCGAGAGCACCCTTGGGGGGCTCGGGGGTCCTGGAATGTTCCAGAAGTGTCTGGTGGCTGGACTTTGATCCTACACAGGAGACGACACCTGTATGAGGACAGGAGGGTTTCACCGGGGTGAATGGTGAAGGGATTGGTTAATTAGAGGGTGAGACACAGGGTTTAGGATTTCTGTACAGGGGGGTTTAGAGAAGTAAGATGGAGGAATTGGGGC